TTTGTTTGGAAAAGTTTTAATTCAAACGAAATTTTTCAGTTTAAGAGTCCAATTGAGATGAGTTCTAAACCCAAATAATTTTTTTCCTAGTCGCCTTTTTCCAACCTTTACTCAATCTGATATTTTTCTAGTAAAATAAGATTTGGACTATAGCTCACAATTTATGCTTGTATTTTATTGAATATTATTTATCGAATAGTTTTTTTTTGGCGGCGATCCTCAAAGCCTTAATCTAAAGATGTGGGGTATCTTATCCTTTCAAGGAACAAATCGGTTTTATTTGCAATGTATTAAGAGCATAAAAATTTATATTAGAATATTTTTCAACATTATTCAAAAAGTCCTTTATAATAGGATGAATAATGAGTTTTAGGTCAGGAGAATGCGTTTCTTCAGTGAAGAATGCAAAAAAATGCTTTTCGTGATTGGGTTTCTACCCCACTGATGAATAATGAGCTATAAATGTCAGGAAATGCGTTTCTTCAGTGAAGAATGCAAGAAAACGCTTTTGGTGTCGGGCTTTGCCCCGAACCCTACTGGAATAATCTTACAGCACTCCCCCAGACCCCCAAGCTTGCAAGAGAAAGGCCTCAACATGACTTTTTTATTTTTTCACTGAAGGTTGAGAAACACTGCTCTATTTTATTCTCATGTATATATATGCTGTACGCACGTTTTATGCATAGGGTTAGAGTTTACTCGGCGTTAGGGTTTGGAAAAAAATTCCCCCCCCCCCCCCCCACTCCAAAGTTTTGGATCTGCTAGTGCCATCAGCTCACCATTTAGCGCAGAAGCTGATTCAGCTCCAGAGGATATAGCTCAAAGCAAAGGTTAGGTTAACCCTCAAAGCAAAGAGAAGTTCCAGTCAGTACCCTAACCCTAACGGGAGTCTTATTTGTGCCAAAAGCTGTATTTCCACACTTTTTAAAAAAACTATGCTGCTGTTCACACTATTTGGGTACACATACATCTGTTCTTCTTCGTTCTCATTTTACATGTTGGACGGTTCAGATCAGTAATCCTATATCTGAGATGAACCGCGCATTTGCTTCCAGATCAGGCAGTTCTCCGAATAGTCTTTGGGGGGCTCTGGGGCCAGAGTCTTGTTCGGGCCTCTTGATTTAGTATGCACCATTAAATGACATGGTCGGCATTCTCTGGTGCTACTCCACAAGGGCAGGTTTCGCTCGTCCCGACATTTAACTTACAGAACCTATATTGTCTCATTCAGTGAGCAAGTTTTTTTTTTTGTTTTTTTTTGTGGAAACTAAACAAGTATAATTCACTGGTCAATGTTGACTGACTGTAATTTGACAGGGCAACAGCTATTAATATAGTTTAACAGTTCCGTAACATTATGCATGACTGTAAAAAGTAAACAATTGCACATTAAGTACAACTGTATATTTGTTGGGATATTGTGATATAAAAAGAGAACCGCAGTTTTTTTTTTAAATCGTAGAATTAGTTTCAAACATTGCTAACTTTTGTTGTATTTTTTCAACGTGGAGTGTGATAAAAAAGAAAGAAACGTGTTAGCTAGCATATCTTTCTAAGTTATATATATATATATATATATATGCGGCCCGCCATTCCAAAATTTTTAATGTGGCCCTCGATACAAAAAGGTTGCCCACCCCTGATTGAGAAGAAAGAAAAAATATGTGAGGGTTGTTTTTTTTTTCAATCAATTGCCATATATATGCATATTAAGTTATTTCTTAAAAATCATTTTAAAACCTTGTTTAATAATGTATCTTATATTCTTTTTCCCTGTTAACGTTTTATGCACAACACTAATTGGCCCGTTGAGTAAAAAGAAATAACTAATTAGTAAACATAATTTTATATATATTCTGTTAATTAGAACATATTTTATTCCTTTACAGATTTTTGTATTGTGATGAAGTTTGGATTGAAGCTGATACAGTACTTGCTACTCTGTACGCAGCCAAAAAATACATTGTTCCTCGACTAGCCACAGCTTGTGTTGTTTATCTTGAAACCAGTCTGAGTGCTAAAAATGCCTGTGTTCTCTTAAGCCAAGGAAGACTTTTTGAGGAGTTGGAGCTTATGCAGAGATGCTGGGAGGTTATTGATGCACAAGCAGAAGAGTCACTTACATCCGAAGGATTTACAGACATAGACAAACGCACGTTGGAAACAATACTGTCTCGTGAGACACTTAACACCAAAGAACTTTGTGTCTTTAATGCTGTGTGTAGGTGGGCAAAAGCAGAGTGTGTTCGCCAAGAACTCAGTCCAACACCTCAAAATCAGAGAAGGATTTTAGGTGACTGCATTCATTTAATCAGGTTCCCAGCTATGTCTCTTGAAGACTTTGCTAATGGGCCAGCTCAGTCAGGGGTGCTCACACTCCAGGAGTGCCATGATCTTTTCCTCCACTTCACTGCTCAACTGTCGCCCAAGCTGCCCTTTAAGAAAATAGGTAGAAAGGGCCTTACTCAGTATAGAGTTCACAGGTTTCAATCGTCTGCTTATAGAAGCAATCAATGGAGATACAGAGGCAGGTGTGACAGCATTCAGTTTTCTGTAGACAGGAGAATTTTTATTGCTGGCTTTGGGTTATATGGGTCAAGTAATGCCACGTCAGAATACAAAGTGAAAATGGAATTAAAGCGTAATGGGGTCATTGAAGGGGTGCAGTCTACAAAGTTCTTATCAGATGGCTCTAGCAACACATTTCCAGTAATGTTTGAAAGTCCTGTGCAGATTGAGCCAGAAACTTTTTATACAGCGAGTGTTATTCTAGAGGGTAAAGAGTTGAGCTATTTTGGTCAGGAGGGTGTGGCTGAACTCCTGTGTGGCAAAGTAACTTTTCAGTTTCAGTGCTCTTCAGATAGCACAAATGGTACAGGGGTTCAGGGAGGTCAAATACCTGAACTGATATTCTACTGCTAAGTGAAAATGTTAGACTTTTTTCTTGTAACAAATTCATGTTAGCTAAATATACATTTCTAGCTCAACAGTAATCAATTTACATTTTCAATTAGTTTTTTTTTAACATAGCATTTAATTAATGTTTTTGTATATAATTTTAATCCAATATACTGAAATATATATTAGACAGGTTATTTATTTTTTATAAATGCATTTAACTTACATGGAATGTACACTAAAGGTACCCAGTATAATTGATACGTTGACACCAGACGATTCAATTTTTTTTTTTTTGGTTGCCCTTTGTGTTTTTTTTTTTTTTTTTTTTTTTTTTTTTGCTGTAAGTATTGTTTTTTTTATAGCAGTTCATATAATATGCCTTTTGGGTTGTCCTTAGTGTTCTTTACTTTTCGGCTTGTCTTTTTTTCTCCTCCCTTTGAAAAAGAAAACATTGTTCAGAACTTAACTGTCTCTTCTAAGCTTGAAAATTTGCTTTTGTTTTTGTCTCTTACATTAAAAAAGCATGTCTAACTTTGTTATTAAAATGGGGTAGGTTTGAATAGAACCAGATTATATTACAGCAGGTGAGAAAAAAGATTATTTATGCCCACTTAGCAAAATATTATGTTTTTACTGGGTAAACTGATTTATTTTGTGCTGTATAAAGTGTTGGATGTATTCCTTTTTTCCAGTCAACATAAACATGAATTTAATAAGTGACATAAACTTACTAATCCTCACTCTTTAGAGATAATGGATGTGATATTTCAACCCTTAACCATTGTCTCTGAGGCATTTAGCCACTTAGTAAGCAAACAGTGATGAATCAATAATAATCAAGATATCTGTGTTAAGAATTTTGAACCACTTTTTTTTTTCACTGATAATTGTATTACATTGTACGCTGCTGCTAAAACTTTAACATGACTGCACATCATAAGGCCTAGGCCCAACCTATATCATGCCTATGTGAGCTCAGTGTAAATACTATATATAGTATGTAGATATTATATATTCTTTGTCATTATTTTGCTCTAATGGTTTTATGCTTGAATGTAAGTTTTGTTAATTTTCTAGCCCAAATCTCTTGCAGGAAATCTGGGGATGATAGCGGGCAGATTTAGAATGCATAACTATTGAGAATATGGTCTAAAGTGGAATGCCACACATTATAGGAAGCTATACCTATTGTTCCCCTATTTATTGGAAAGATTTATGTCTTGGCTTAATTTATTTATTTTTTGTTTGTTGAAAGATTTGTACGTAATGTATATAATATAAGTGAATACCTTTTTATTTAATATTTAAAAGAAATCATGCATTTTTGTTATCATGCATTCTCATTTAAGTTTCTATTGTAACTCTTGTACACCACTAAATTCTTGATGATGTCAAAAAAAAAAATCTCGTTAATTATTTATTTATAACTTACAGTTGCTCCTTCAAAAGTAATTAACTTTTTTTGAAAATTAGAGCAAGAAAATAATCTAAAAGTGTTGTTTTGTTCCTTTTATTGGTATTTTGTAAAGTTTTGTTTAGAAATCTTGTCCCTTTTTCTGTGATTCAATTTTGCGGAACAAACATTGTTTTACTTGGTTAATAATCACCACAGTCTTGTCCATCCAAAAATTATGTTTAGAAAGGAGGTTGGAATTCTCAGTGATAATGTGTTTATGTATTAGTATTGTTGTTATGAAGGTGTCATTTTACCTTCCTGGCTCTGTGGATGATGTAGACAAACATTGGGAAAAGACTCATGTGTATTTATTTACTTATGTTAGCAGTTAGTATGGAGTCTAAAGTTGTTGAAACTTGTTATTTGCATGTTAGTACCTGACAGATCTCGGTAAATCCAAAGAGTGTTGGTCAGATGGAAAAAGGCTAAATTTCTGTGCTGTAGTGAGTATATATCTGGTTAGGTCTGCACTTTTTAGTTTTTAGATTTTAGTATGACCTCACCAGTTCACCTAGTCCACCCAGCTCAAATATCTTGCTGAGATTGAACAAAATGAAGGCAATTAGTTGTAGTGCTGGACACATGACAACAGCCTCTTGAACTACTAATTACAGAAATAGATGAGCTATACATCATCTACTCTATAAACATACTTGTCTCAAACAGAATGTTCTTTTTAGCTTTGTAATAAACAAGTTAGAAATCATTATTTATCTCTGTGTACATGACCTGTAGCATACAAACAAAACGTGATATGATGGATCCATTTGTTAAAGATACTTACATTTGTCTGTTAACTCTGGGCATTAAAGTTTAATGAGACCTGTTTATATTATAAAACATTTTCTTCATATCACACTTGCTTTGAGATCTTGTTTAATTTTATTGGTGATATACTACACACAATGAAATTAATTAATTAATTTGTTTGTTGTAGAATAAATATTTGAATTGGAGTCCATCTGTTTTTGGATGTTCATTTCAAAATCAATTTTTCAGAAAACTTGCTCTGAATAAGATTTGTAAACTTAAGCATACAGTTGAAAGAATAAATAGCTGTACTAAGGGAGTTCTTTGCGAGCTCCAAAGACCTTGTAATATGGCCATAGATTTTTAGCTTGCGTTGTTTTATGATAGTTAGCAGGCCATCGTGGGGTTTAAGATACTAATACTAAAGATCTAAGAAACTAAGATCTTATCTTCTTATCTTATATAATACAGACATTACTTCAAAAAAGAAGAGTCCTACGCGTCATGCATTCAGTCATGCATATTAACCAATGACTTAAATTCTGCCAAGTCACTGGCTAGATCAGGCAACACATTCCATGCTCTAATAGGTTTTGTCACTTAATGATTTAAAATGTATACGTAACAAGAAATTATAAATTTAGTTCCAAGCATTGCGCCAGCAGGGATTCTGTGTAACCAAATTCTGGCCAATTTTTTTTTTCAGCCCCATAAATTAATTAAATCATTCTAAGTTTCAACTTAACAAGTTTTTCCATAGAAGGACAGTTATATGAATAGGTTATTATTATAGAAGGATAATTGCAGAGAATGTAAGTAAGAAAGGCATAGGCCTTTACAGTAAAATAGAATTCGCGATTCTGGGAAATTCAGGTTGCCTACAGAACCGTACAAACCTCCAAAGAGTTAGTTACAGGCCGATTCAGCAAATCCGAAGGGAGCATGGGCATACTACTCACCTAAGACTACGGAGGCTGCTCAGTGATGGCTAGCATTCAAAACCGTGTTCAGGCTAGCAACCTTTTCTATTGCGCGCCTCATAGACTTAACCTTGTTGTCAATGACCTGAATGACGTTTCGGATATACGCAATACTTTTGTTGCCACCAAATTTACCTCTTCTGTGTTAGACACGATGGACTGAAAAATACTTATCCATTCGCGCTTTTGGTCACAACTTTAAGAAAATCTTTTGACTGTTGGTTGATCTTAACATAACGGCTGCTGTTGAAACCAGACAGACTGCACACGTGATACTCAGTGTCTGCTCCTCATGTACGTTTTTGATTCATCCTTTCTTGAACCAGTTGCCCAGATGTTGTAATCTATTTAAATCAACGTAATGGCCGCTCAACAGCACATTGGTCTCATTGACATAATCAAAAACCACCGTGACTATGCTGAGGGGCACGTCAAGGATGACATCCTGAGTAAGGCAAGACCGCTGGCGGAGAAAGTTGGTATTGAGTTGATGCTGCCGAAGATTTGCAGTCGAAAAAAAAAAAAACACTGAGCGAACACAACGGGGATTTTTAGAGTATTACAGAACACGGCTTTACATTCTGTATCTTGATTCGTTAGTTTCTTCATTAACGCCTCGCTTTTCAATCCGTAATAATGCTCACTTCAACCTGTTTTGTCTACATCCTAAAACGATGCAAGAGCTGGAGCTTGAAGAATTCAGCAGTCAGCAAGGCAATGTATCGTATAGACATTTTTGAATACATTACAAGACAATGAACGGATTAAACTATTGGCATTCACAATCCCAGGTTTCAGACTTTTCCACTTGGACTCTGCTAAGTTGTTAAAGCAATATGCTAACTTTACCGACTACTACGTGTAGCATTAAACGATCTTTCAGCCCACTAGGACAAATCAAAACCTGTTTGTAGCCAACAATGACTGGTGAAAAACTCTATGGCATGTGCATGATAAGAGTTCATCGCTAGCTTGTCCATCGCGGCGAGAAGCAATTCATCAGTAAAGCTATTGACAGTTTTGGTAGCCACAGTCGACATTTGCAGTATTTTTTTAAAACAAATCTTATATCAACTCATTCTGTCTGTCTGGTAACAAATTTGTACATGTTATTTCTCCGACACCCAGTCTCAGATCCAGCTGAAATTTAGCACAATTATTTCTTTTACCTAACAACACAAGAATCAATAAAACAAAATAACCAATTAGCTAATAAGGTATTGTTAATTAATTATTTTGTTTGGTATATATCTCAAACAAGGGAATGAATTTCTACTTGACAGAAGTGGTGGTATAAGCTGAATTAGTCCCCTATTATAGGTCGTCGTCTGAGTCTTAGTGAACACAACATGAAACATATGACGAGTCTATAGAAACAATAGATTATAGGCCTACAATCTTCCATGTTCAGAGTCTCTCTACTAACAGAGTGCAATGGTTATGTTGGCTTGAGAAACCTGAGAAGGCTTAAGTCATGAGTTCGAATTCAGGTTGTTCACCCCCCCCCTTTTTTTTTTTTAAATATTTGTATAGCTTCTTTTTATTGTTAGTCTAGATCTATTACAAATTTAATTAGCCTACATGACTGATCCAAACCAATTGATATAAGTATGGGTCAAAGACTCAAAGGGTCATTAAAGGGAAATTTCTCGACCCTATAAGTGTGCTTTGAAAATACTTCGACGAGGTAACCCTAGCCAAAACTATTTGTTTTAAATGCAAATTATTTCTTTTGAGCTTATATATTATTTCCCCAACTCATCGATAATGATCTTTACTTCATTTCAGATTTTCAGACCCTATTTTTCTATATTGACAATATTTTGAATGACATTTATTAAGTTCTATTAGATCTGGGTAAGCAACTTCTGATTGTCATTGAGCTCTATCAATCTAGATATATAGTAAAGTCACTATTGCGGAGCAGGCATGTTTGCGGAACAGCTCGTCGAAATTAGTTAAAATCTACTTTATTTTGAAATTTTCTGCAAAACTACTGTAACGGTCCTGCGCATGGTCCATTTCTCTACATTTCCAATATTAGGGTTTTCCTTTCACAGCAGAAAATTCATTTTGACTCCAGGTTAAAGTTGCCAGGTGTGGAATCGTCCAATATTTTTCACGTAGGCTACCAGGAGAACCGCATAGGTCAGGGCTTAATTTAAGGCTTTTTAAAAATGATAATGACACATCACCTGCATGATACACATATTTTTCGGTTTATAAATGGATGTGGAAAAACTTCATTTCATATCTATCTACCAGGAATTTAAATTTAAACAAATCGGGAGGTGTTTACCCAGTTTTTACCTTTTTAAAGATAGTCACAATTGTGGAACACTATAGATGTCATTTATTTGACTGCGCAATTAGCTTAATAATTACATTGTGATTTAGATTATCGGAATTGAAATATGAGTTTGTATTAGTAGGCCCTATACATAATTTAAAAACATTTAGAGAATAATATTACATATAATATATAATTTATGATTACCAGACGTCCAGCAAAAAGAGGAAAAATCATAATATCAAATAATATCATATAAGCCTATAAAATACTAATATAACAAAAAAGAATTAAAGAATAGTGGAAAATAAAACCTTGTAAGGAAAATCAGGGTAGTGTGACGTCAATTAAATTGAACTTATAAAGAATCAAAAAGTGGCAATGTGTTGTCTTAAACTTTATTAAAATAAAATTAATGTAAAGGATAAGGAGTTCAAGTATTATGTAAGACTAATAGATATATGCTTTATATAGGCTTTGTTCCGACATTTTTACCGTGTTCCGCAATTGTGACTACTTAAAAAATCCTGTTCCGTAATTGTGACTGACCATATCTCAGTCGATTTGAATGTAAAATTTAAATATCTGTTGAAAAACTAAACAATGCGTCTTTTTTTATCGGAAAATGGATGGGCAATGTCTAAATACTTTTAGTTTTTTCATAGGTCTAACCATTACGGAGCAAAAAATTGAAAACTAAAAGTAGCTGCAAACTGTTCCGCAATAGTGTTGTCTACTTTATATAAGATCTACTCTATCTATAAATTTAGATCTATATAAGATTTATCTCTATCCAAAATATATCTAAAAATCTTTTGACTTTAATTCTTTATGGTGTAAAAGCACTATTTATATATGTCAGTGTTTGGAGGGTTCGAAATTAACGGAAACGGAAGCTAAACGTTTTAGTTTACAAATTTACTACCAATTTTCTGGAAATAAACAAAGGAAACGTTAAAAAATCTAAGTTTATTAAAGCAATCGATTTATAAATTACTATGTAAGTTGGAAAAAATGATAAAAACAGTATGCATATGGCAAAGTAATTATATATCTCTAAATATGACTCCTCAAGCTTTGATTTCTAAGCAAATTTTTAGCGCCACCAACGGCCTATTTTCTAAAAATGAAAGTTGTTTATAAACAATTTTCATATAGATATCTATCACAGTATCAGATATAGTTTTGATCTTATTCTAAATCAAAGCATGAAATGTATGGTCATTTAACAAATACATTTTATCCAGCACGTTATTTTTAGATCTATGTGGTATAACTTTTAGCCTGTCATTGTCAATACTTTAATACTAGACAACCACAAAAAAAACAAACAACAGATAATAATCTACAAATTAACAAATCATTTTTCTATTTTTAAATGAAAATTCAAAATAAGTGAATGAAAATAGATTTAAAATGATCAATTAAAAAAAAATTGCTAGTCTACTAACCTACTTACTAATTTAACTTAATACTCATCACCCAACAAGTTTTCATATTCAATTGTCCACCATTCACCATCAAGATCAATAATCAATGGAATCATGCCCTGGTCATAGACTCTATCACTATCACTTACAAATAACATCTCTAGACTCTTGACATTACTCTTGATTAGACCTAGATTAGAGATCTAGATCTAGTTACAATTTAGAATGTAGGAATCTACTCAATGTAGGGATGTGAAATAAAAACTTTATATTTGAAAAAACAATTTTTCGTTAGTACATCATTAAAATACTTTTAACAGAACTTTCCAATGTCAAATGTTGTATAAATTATGACTGTATGTTTAAGTTAGAAAGTTATGAATTTTTTTTGTGGCGTTTTGACCTAACATCGGTTGACATGGTCATGGAATAAGAGAGAAAAGAGCTTGTCGCTG